CTATTCCTATAGATTTGCCTATTCTGGATATTTCATATGAATGAAATCACGTAATATATGCTATTTTGTGAATGGCTTCTTTCACTTAATAATGTTTCAAGGTTCATCCATGTTGTAGCACCTATCAGCAGCTCATTTCTTTTTATTGCCATACAATATTCCATTTTATGCATATATCACATGGTATTTATCCACTTAAGGGCACAGCCTTGCCCATGCGCACAATCATTCTGGGTTGACTGGTTATAGCAGAGTTCTCTTTCTCTCTTTCCCTAATCTTTCTTTTACGCTATATGCCTCACACCCAGATATTAGGTTCCACTAATTGCCAGCTGACTGCTCTATTGTTTTTGACAGTTCCCTGAGATAGGATTTGTTCCAGAGTCTGCTTCAATTAAATCTGGGCAGGAATAGTCATTGAGGCCGCCTTTGAAGCTCGTTATGACCCCAGAAGGGCATTTTTTAAACTCTTTTCCTGATTCTCTAAAACTAGCTGGCCTACCACTTAGCTGGTCCTAATGAAGCTACTAGTCTCCTTATATTTGCTTGTCATAAAAATCTCCATTGTTTTCAATAACTCAGGCTTGAACTTCCCCATACTCTATTTCAAATAAAAGCAGCTTCTTGGGAGAGAGCTTTAGAGTTCTCTGTACTTGGGGACTGACTCTCCTCTTTGGCAAGGTCTTTGAACCACTGTTCTGGGCACTGCGCAGGGATGGTAGCCTCCCCCCTGGCCTTACCATTTTCTCAGCTTACCTTTCTGGGTATCGCACCTCAACCCTATACTTGAGTTGGGTGAAGACAATCAGGGCCTCACTGCTCCTAGCCTCCCACAGTGGCTTAGAGCCTCCACTTTATAAATGGGGCTGGATGGGCAAAGGGACCCCATGACATCTCATCCACATACCCCAGAAATGTAACCTCTGCAACTTGGAGTTAGAGGGAATTAGAAATGTGACTGGCCTGCGCCTTTGGATAAGATACAGTCTCCCGTGAGTGGGAGCGAAGGACAGACAGCCCCATCCTGCGGGGCTCGCCCACCTAGAGTGCAGTTTCTTTCAAGCTGAGCTGGGGAGGGGATGGGGGGACATGTCGTGGCTTCAGTGCCATAGATTCTCTCTCTTCTTACTGCATTTTAGCAGATTTTCTTGAATAAATATTTCTTCACCCTCTGTATGTTTTTGAGACAATTTCCAGAGACTCTAAATGGTTGTTTTATTTTATTTTTTATGCAGTTATGTTTGTTTGGCTTGGGATAGGGTCCATGGAGCTCTTTACAGGGCTATTCTAGAATGGAACCCCAGTGTTATTTTTAAAAGACTGTGTCAAAGAAAACTCCTGGTCCATCACACACTCTGAACTTCAATTCCCTTATCTATAAATGGGGATCATAATCCACGCCACACTGCTCAGGACAGAGTAGCCCAGAATAACTGTTAGTTTTTCCCCTTTCCCTCCTCTTATCTCACTTTGGGGACTTAGAGAAGTTCTGGTTGAATAAAGGTGCCTGCCCAATAATGCGATGGATGATGTGCTTTAAGAATTTTAAGACTCCAAGAAAGTGGTTCAGGTAAAGTGAGAAATATACTTAAACACTTTTTAAGAAAATGACCTTCAGACCAGGACCAGGGTTCTTTTAGAGATCCGGCTCATGAGAAAATACTTTAACTAAGTAACTTTAACAACATGACTCAAGGTCCTTTCTCTTCCCCCCCTCCCTCCTATTTCCCTCCCCCGCATTCTCTCCTAACTCACTTCCCTTCTGCATATGGCCTTTCACCAACATATGAGAATGACTGAGTAGAAATTCAATGATTGAACAGTTAAAAGAATAAAATTCAATCAGATTTTCCAGGTGACCAGTAACCAGGATTCCCTCTGAGCTATGTGTTTATATAGCAGTCTGGACCTTGAAAAACCCAAACCCCCACCTAAATGATGATAGACAGATGATAGATGATTGATAGATAGGTGATAGATAGATGATAGATAGATAGATAGATAGATAGATAGATAGATAGATAGATAGATAGATAGATAGATAGATGATAGATGATGATAGATAGATAGATAGATAGATAGATAGATAGATAGATAGATAGATAGATAGATGATAGATAGATAGATAGATAGATAGATGGAGATAGATAGAGTCTCTCATTCTATTAAGAAATGAAAAATCTCATGAAAGTCCTTTCCATTGTCACTCACTCATTCATTTAACAAAGATGATTTCATGCCTAAGATGTGAGTGGCCCTGTGCCGTGTGCGTCAGCCCTGGTATGCATCTTAGGAGGTGAGGTAGGAATTGAGGAGCTGGCCAGTCGGCATGTCCGTGACCAAGCCACACATTGTTGCGGTGTTTGCTCACTCTGTGTAGCTTATTTGTCTACTCACAGCTTCAAATGATCAGGAGGAAGAATATGGATGTGACCCTAGAAAAGGCTGCAGTTAATATTTTACTTCACCTCATACCAGCTGTAGAGCTGTCCAAGGACAAATAGTGTTTTGTTTTTAACTTCTCGTACAGGTGATGTTGGGCAACCAGGACCTCTTAAAATCGATGTCTGGACTGCTACAATGGTTTTGGCCTTCTTAAAAGGCCTAGAACCAGTCAGGGATAAATTAAAGCGAGGGTGATAAGCGAAAATGCACCTGAAAATTCTATTTAGAAACCCAACTCTCTTCTTTTATAAGGAATTCAGATACTTGGGAAAGACTTAACAGCAAAAATGAAATTTTAAATAGAAACTAGGAGGATCGTAGGTCGTTTGGATTGTGACATGAGAGTTACATTATTTGGTTTAGCAGATGCATACCGATCCCTCACTGTGTGCAATATTAGGAAGACACATTCCTACATTCAAGAAACAAGTCTTTACACTGCAGTGTGAGACAGAAAATAGTTGTTATAATTGAGACTCTAAAAATGCCACTAAGACAGATAAGGAAGATTCATTCCTGTTAGGAGGGATTAGAGAGCTTTCATAAAGGAAGTGCCATCTGATCCAAAGCCAACGAAGGGGCAGAAATGTGGGGACGTAATAAAACCAACTGGAGTATGTTACTGGCGACCTTCGGAAACCAGCCAGTAATCCCACCCGACTGGAACCCAGGGCAAAGGGAAATAAAGGTGGGTATTTTGTAGTTGATCATAAAGATGCCCCAAAATGTTATCAAAGAAGGTGAGAGTTTATTTTGAAGCCAACTGAAAACCGTGGAAGAGTTTTGGAAAAAGAAGTAGTAATCAAAAGTGGTATCTTAGAGAACTTATTCTGACCCCCACATATAAAATAGATTTTTTAAATATCAGAGGCAAAGAAGGAAAATGATGTTTCATTTATTCGATAAGTATTTATTGAGCACCTACTATGTGCCAGGCACCATTCTAGGGGGATGAGAGCTATCTTTAATTTTTGAAACACTTTGCATGGAAAAGGCACTGTTCCCAATCTGTGTGGTCTCCAGAAGCAGAGCTGGAGCCAGTGAGTAGAGTCAGGTAGGAAGTAAAATATCTTTCTAATAAATGGAGTCTTCTTGATAAGTAGTAAGAGCTCTGTCACAGGCAGTATTCAAACATAAATTAGATGCTATTCTTCCAGGAACACTGTGACAAGGGGTTCCTGTGGTAAGGGGGAGGTGAGACTCACCCCTCTGCAAGTTCTTTTCCAATCTTTAGTAAGAGTCTATTCTTTCTGATGATCTAGCCCTGTGGGTTCTATTATTAATCTCTCCTTTCTCTCAATTATTAAATAAATTACTCAACCTGTCTGCCATTCAGTAAAACTCACACATCCACATCTGTTACTGAATTATTTTTGGTGAGGGCTCCTCTTCTTTATTAAAAAACTCTCCCCAGTAAGGTTACCTTTACAGCTAATTTAGAATGGCAACCCTGGCAGACGGGGTTATAAATATCAGAGGGGGAAAGTATTTCGTGCTCCTAATAATATTTTTGTTTGGAAGGAGCCATGCAAACGAGAAATGAATTATCTTGACTTCAAGATTGCGATGCAGTTTCTGTATTTTGCAGTAATTCAAAAATGAAAAAAAGAAAGAATCTCAGAGAGGTTCCTTTTGATACAGCCTTGGGTAAGAAAGAGCATAATTATTCCCCAAACACTGTAAAGCTTTAGATCAGAACCGTTTATCTGTGCCGCATTTTAAAAAGAAGAAAGGGAAGGGAAGAAAAAGGGAAGGGGAACCTGGAGTGAGCTCCGCTAGAAGCTCGAGTTAAAGCTTTGCATTTCCTGGTATCTTTTGAAACGTAAAATTCCCCAACAAATAGCTCTGGAATGTATAACCGGTGTGAGGATTCGATTCCGATTTAAGCACTTTGGTTTGCTTCTGAATCTTGCTATTTTCTGCATTTGTTTTGACCGCTCTCCTCATTCAAGATTGACGCTTGGATGGGTGTGTAGGAGGAAGCAGCTTACAGCCTGCAGACAAAAAAA